GCACAAAAGCAAAGGTATAAATTCATTAAACAAGAAAAGATGCATTTGCTACCTTAGTCTCAATCTGGAGAATTGAAATGTCCAAATATTCAGGACAGGTGCTGTGAAGATTTGTTCCTGAAGTCAATCAGAAACTGATAACCTGACAAATAGCACTTTGTTTACTACCCAAGTGTTTAATGATTTTGGAAACTATGTAGAAGATTCATATTTTAATTTTGATAAAACCATTATCACAGTTAGGCTATTTTTCAGTTCAGATTTCTAAAGAACTGTCTCCTCAATATCTGTATGAAATTGCTGACACAGTGTTATACAGTTCTACAAGAATGCAAGCAGATATGAGCTGACACACTGGCTACAAATTTTCAGGTTCATTTTCACTGTAATGACAGGAGAGGGATGCCATGCTGAGAAAGCAAAAAAATTCTAATGTTTCATTAGATAGGCCAGCTTGGGGACAGTTTGATATGTTATAATAATTCAGTGACAAGTACTTTTTGTTAGTTTCCCTGCTGTGATTATAAGGCTATAAGAAAAAGGTATAATTAATTACAGATTTATTATCTTGCATGGTCTTCTTTACATGTTACTGGCATTTAAGTATCTTTTAGCTGGGGAGATGACTAGAATAGCTGCTAAGATATCTCTTCCTTTATGTTTCAACTCCTTGCCTTGTGTTTCTCTGCTATAGGCTAGTGGCATCACATATCTAAGGACCTTTTTATCCCCTTGACAGAAGCCATATCTTAGGTGTAACTGGGTAGAGCAGTTGTACCAGAACTATCTTTAAAATTGCTGACTTGGGAATTGCTGACCATGCGATGGCTGAGAGCTCAGCATAAGTGAAGCCCCTAAGTATTTACCTTATTACTCGGCTAGATTTTGCAGCCTACACTGAGTTCAGCATTGCTACAGCTGAGCTGTTTCCAGAGTTGAAGATGGCTCACTAAGGTCTCCTTGACTAGCAGCCACAGTAAAATAACATAACTGGAAAAAATAGGTTCTTGAACTAGAACTCCCTCATCCAAGGATGATTTTCATCCAGTTTATGAACAGCAATGTCTCTCCCTGTTTTTGAGATGCTGTATCAAAACCTTAATTAATCTGCAAGTACAGAACAACTTTCCAAAAGGAAGACTTTTTTCACTATATTATTCACAAAAAACAGAGTTTGAAAAGTCTTCTCAAATTCCTAACAGTACTCAATGAGACTTAAAAATATTTTAAGTAGTACTGGTTATCAGTCACTATTATTCAAAATTTAGCATGTAGACTGCCACTGCTTGGTCTCACTCCCAAGTAGTTCTGCAGTAGAAACTACAGAGGCAGACTGAGAGATATGATCTCTATTTGGTATGGACACAGACTTCAATGAAAAAAATACATTTATTAACATGTCTTCTGTAATGTAGCCCAGATTTCATTCAATATTTCTGCTAAATAAATTTTATGACATTATGAGGTGCAAGGATGGGATATGGTACAAAATATCTAAACTACCAAGGATGCAAGTTAAGTCTGTAAGGGTCTTCAATAGCACAGGTCCAAATGCAGCATGCATCTAAACTTCTCCTACCAGTATTCTAGACACTAGATAACTCATCAAAAACACACTAACTTCATGAAGATACTTGACAATGCCTGCTTTAGCATCAGAATTATCCAGTGTCTTGAGCTTCAGTCATTTATTAACACTTCACACCTCTTCCAAGATGATTTGTTGCTATAGTTCACAAAATTTAATTACATTCTTAAGATCAAAAGGGCAATACTAATTTATACCTTATGGACTAATAAAACTTTATGGCTATTTTTCAAGGTTAAATATGTAATGTGATTTTTTTTTTTTTTTTAATGGAAGGGTAGTCTAAAAATTAAAATAACTAGTAGAAATGTCTAGTTTAAGGAAGGAGGATAGTGTTCTGGAACAGCCCAATTAAAAGATTAGTAAGATTGATTCACGAATCAATTATTTTATGAAATTAATTTCATGAGATTGATTTATTAAATCTTAAATCCAAATTTATATTTTATTTAGCAGAAAAAATTGTCTCAAAGAGTGTTGTATTTCAGAATATTCCTATCAAGTCTTAAATATTAGTTTAAAAGCAGAGGTACTGAGACAGAGATGCTAACACACTCCGCTAACCTTGTCCTATCAATCTACCACAGAAACAAACAGCAGCTTAACCTGAACTCAGACACACACGCAGCCTTTTTTACTCTTAGATCAGTCCTAATTAGAAGCAACTATTTTAACTGCCACTGTAAACCAATAACATAACCATTCATTTTCCCATATAAACGTAATTTCTTGCCCCATACAATATAGGATTTCAGAAATGGAAATAACAAACTTCAGGACTACTTTTACTTCCTTTCTGTTCAGTTTTTCTCCCTTATATCTACAAATCCTTTACCATTTGGAGCATGGAGTTCTCATCCTCAGCTATTACCTACCAGTTCAAGAATAAGATTCAGGAAATTAAAAATAACATGGAGAAATACAGTTATTATCCCCAGTAGATCAGAAAATGATGACTAGCAAGGTGACTATTCCCAACCTGTTAGGAGTTTACTGGCAGGGCAGATAATAGTTACAACGTGCAGCTCTTCAGCTTGAAGGGCCAGCCAGAATGACCTTTCCTCTCAATATAGGAAAGGAGAATTTTCAATCACCAAGTGAAGTTCTACTGCTCAGAGGTAGTAATGCACCGGACAGTGGAAAGAGTTGACCAGAGTGTCCTACCATCTAGGGAAAGGAGACTGACAGATACATGTTCAAAGTGCTGTCTCATGTTCTGAAATTAACTCTACACATGACATAGTACAGCAGTTTGAAATGGTATTTCCAAAGTCAGCATGCCTCAGTGATAAAAAAATCAGGAAAATTCAGGAAAAAAGGCATACAAATTAGATATGTTTTAAATGAATAATCTCTGTAATTATACATAACTTATTCAAGCAATAAATCTGTATTAACTGAAGTGGCAGGCTGACATTCATATACAATTATGCATGTATTAAGTATCTTATAACTATAACTGACATGGTTAATTTCATTCAAGCCATTTGCAGTATAAGATGACAGCCAAAATGATTACAGATATGGCTTAGAAGCCAGGCCAGTTAACTATTGCATTTATAGTTTAAAACAAAATCACATTTTGAAATCTGCTTATCTATACAGCCAAATGTTCTTACCAATAAAATGTCAAGGAAAAGATCATAGCAGTATATGGAAAACTAAGACGGAAGGAATTACAGTACATTGGTATTGTTAACTCATTAACCTTGTTAGATCTTATGAAGATGATGGGTTACCTCATTAATGTCCTACAGCTTCCTTGGTTATTCTCTGGGCCTCTAATTAATACACCATATTTAACCATAAACAAAACATATTTCCAGATAAAGACCTAAAAATGTCCTTTTTAGGATCTGTTTTTCATACTGATCTTAATGGATTTACTATGCTTCAGAAAAATGCCTATGTTCAGCAGACAGCACATTTCCAAAGCCTCATTTTTTAACTAGCAAAAAGTTTATCTTTTTTTAAAATACTAATTACAACAGAAAGCTTTGTAGTTGAGTCCCATTGCTATGGTGGTAGATATTGAACTCTCTCAGCCAATTTATGTGGTATGGGTGTGGCAATCTTCCCACTGCAATAAGTATGTTTATGGTGATTAATCAAGTAGAAGTCTGAAAACAAGGATAATTTGGCATTTTCTTCCTTTACCGAACAACTACTCTAATATTGTCCTGCACAGTCTGCTAAGTTTTTAAATTATCAGAACCAAAAAAAAAAAATCAAAGTTACACAAGTAGTTCTGCTGATGTTCAAGCCAGATTCTAGTCCATTCTACTCAACTTATGCTATAACAATGCTATCCTATTTTGTGCCACCTCTTAGATCACCGTTCATTATGCAGGTTCCCTCAAGTCTTCTTCAGCCAAAATTTTATGGAGAGGTGCAAATTATGATCAACTTCACCTCACCTTGCAGACTCCAAAGCTGTACCTGGATATCTAGCCCTTAAATATTATGCCTGATACAGCTCTGGCACTCTCCCAATTCTAGTTCAGCTGTGAAATCAAGAAGGTGCTTCCCCTTACAGAGACTAGATAGGTAACATGATGTTAGTCAACAATCATCTGTCATTCTTGTATATTTCCCAAATCATGATTCATAATCAAGACAGCCCAGATTCAAAAAGTCAATTGCCTATTTCAAATAGGTCTGTGCTGCTGCAAACTGTCATTTGTCAAAGCAGATTCTCAGTCCAATTATTTACAGTGAAATTATTCTATTCTGAAATAATAATGGAGAGTTCAAACAAGTGACTAATGGAGAGTTCAAACAACGGTAACAGAAGAGAGCATAAAATTTTGGAGAATGTAAACAGAGTCCTCACAGATAATATCATTCACCTGACTCAGCATAATTCTATTGGGTTTTTTAACCATCATAATTCATTGCTGTTCAAACCTGTATAACATAAACAGCAGTCTGCCAAACTGTCATTTAATATTTCTACCAGTTCTCATTCACTGTTTCATTTTCAAATACAGAGCAGATCTTCCTTTATGTAACATGGAAATACAAAGTACTTTAAATTTTGAATTAGTTGTATAATGTTGTTGCTAAGCACCTCATTAAAAAAACAGAAACAAGTTAGTAAATAGATTACTGCAAGAGGCTGGTCTTAAAGAAATTCGATTTCTAATTTGGCTTTTTGCAATCTTCTTATATTTAGCTAGGAAATTATTTAAACCTCTGCTTTGTTTTCCCTTCTACAGTATTTTGATATTAATGTTTATTCTGATATTAAGCTCTTACAGTAGCTAATGGAAGACTATAATCATGCTGTATTAAGTAAAGAGTCTACTGTGTTCTTAAAAATACAAACCTACACCTTCTATATATAATTCTATACCTTCTATAACATTACACTTACACCAAAGACTATGTAAAGGATTATTTGGTGATTTACCTGGTCTTGAGGATGGAACTCTTGCTATCTCTAGTGAACAAGGTTTTTTGGTCACTGCTACATCTATCGAATCACAAAGACTGCTATCATTTTCTGAAGGAACCGCATCCAGAGGTACAGAGGGTATTGCTTCCAATGCATAACCACGCTTCTTTGAATAAGGTTCCTGAAATGCAAAAATGTAAGTAGGTATGAGAAATATATTTCAGATGATACAGGAAAAGAACCAGGTTTAACAACTCCAGCTAGCAGGCTTCAAAATTCAGTAATCTGCTGAAATCCAAATTGTAACAGACTGGAAGGATTACTTGCATGCTAGAAGATAACATTTCTTGTTTCTTTAAATATTTGTGTAATACAGTTCTTGTTTAGTAAGACAAATATCTTTATTGCTATATAGCAAAAGATCTAACATAACTGGTCTTGTCATACCTGCTTTGCCAGGTCCTAATTCAGGAGATGTCTCTTATTCAATTTTTTAAATTATGTTTCTTATTTATTTTTTAAAATTATATATCACGAAAGTGACAATTATATTAACCACTGCAATTATTTTCTCTTCGGGGGATGGTTTTATAAGATGATATTATATAAAAGAAAGCTAAAAATATGTCATCTGCATTTTGATGGCAGAATCCCAGGTTATGAATGAAGATGGATTACTGTTCCATATTTGAGCAAACAGCAATAATGGCACAAGGTTCCTTATCAGTGATACAAGGTCAATAGTGAATTCCCATCCTTTGCAAATGTAGAGGGAGGGAAAGAAAGAATTAGAAGTTTTGCTGCTACACTAAACTGTCAAATCAAACAGACTATGTCTGCTTTAGAACATGAATAAGAAGATACCAGACAGCTTCACCAGAGTTTCTTGATTTGAGATTTTTTTTTTTTTTTTTTTTAATCCCAGCAGAAAGCAATTGCATGGGCAAAGATGTATTTCCACATTTTTCTTATGTTGGACATATGGATGCCTGGGAAAGTCAAGCACTGCACATAAATCAAACATGATATAAAATACAAAGGGCGAGAAAGCACCCTGATAATTAGATCTTATCATAGCACTACTCAGGAAATGATTGAAGAATGTGATAAAGAGAACAGGATGTGGAATAACAATTTCTTCAACAAGAAAAACATGTATTGTCAAAGTTCTACTTGATGACTAAGTAGAACCAAATTTTAAATCACACTTTGGTTAACCCATCACTGAATAAAGACCTTGAAAATGAATACTGGAAACAGTTAACAGGGAAAAAAATAATACAAAATAAAATAATCAGAATTCTAACAAGCATTTGTAATAAAAAAGAGTATGTACTAGTAAACAGTACAAGATTAGTGGTCAGTGTCAAAAAAACATGCCTAAAAGGAATGTGATTGCATCTCTAGCTTTTTTACCCTTTCCTCTTTATGTCTAGTCAGAGTATGAGCTCTCAGCATTAGCAATTTACTGATGAATATTAATAATAACCAGTTCCAGCTAGCAGACTCTAAAGACATAGCTAAGAATTGGAAAAGTTTGTAAATGGGCTTACTGCAGCTCCAAATACAACTTTTTGAATTTAAGCCACAGCATTCCTTAAATGAAGTTGAGAAAATTATTCCTGCAACTCACAACCTGTAAAAAAAAAAAAAGTGTGGGGTTTTTTTATAATCCTGCAAATAACATTTGCATAAAATGACGCATGGATATGAAGAAGAGTAAAACTGAAATCAATAAGTTTACAAACACACAGTTTTATTACTGGAATACACGTGCATAAGTTGAAACCACAGGTTTCATAGGTGAAGCAGGCTGTCCCTCTGCAGCCCATGGAGGTCCTTGGTGGAGTAGATGACCACCTGTAGCCTGTGGAGGACCCCACACCAGAGCAGGTGGATGTCTGAAGGAGGCTGTGACCCCATGGGAAGCCGATGCTGGAGAAGGTTCCTGTCAGGACCTGTGGCCCCATGGAGAGAGGAGTCCACACTGGAGCAGGTATGCTGGCAGGACTTGTGATCCCATGAGGGACCCACGCTGGAGCAGTCTGTTCCTGAAGGACTGCACACCATAGAAAGGACCAATGCTAAAGCAGTTTGTGAAGAACTGTCAGTCATGGGAAGGACTCACATTGGAGAAGTTCATGGAGGACTGTCTCCCGTGAGAGGGACCCCACACTGGTGCAGGGGAAGAGTGTGAGGAGTCCATAACTGCAACCTCAGTTCCACATCCCCCCATGCTGCAGGGGGAAACGAGGTAGAAATCAGGAGGAAATTTAAGCCTGAGAAGAAGGGAGGGGTGGTGGGTGATGTTTTTAAGATTTGGTTTTATTTCTCATTATCCTCCTCTGATTTGACTGGTAATAAATTAAATTTATTTTCCCCCAGTCAAGTCTGTTTTGCTCGTGACGGTAATTGGTGAGCAATCTCTCTCTGTCCTTATCTAGATGCACAAGCCTTTCATTATATTTTCTCTCCCCAGTCCAGCTGAAGGAGGGGGAGTGATAGAGCATCTTTGGTAGATATCTGGCTAGATAGCCAGGGTCAACCCACCACACCACCCCTGTCAGCCCTCACCCTCTCAGTCTTCAGTGATGTGACAGGGATCAGATTTTCACATGGCATTCAAGATGAGGGTTCACCAAGTATTCATACTGACATAATCATGTTCCCTCTTTTGTACTCTACTCTCTTCCTAATTGCTCTTAACATTCAATTTGATTTTCTGAATGTTATTCAACATTCTGTAATTAACATTGCAAGAATATAAATGTCAGAGAAGAATAAATAAAAATGATGGATTTACTGAGAAAAATGGTTGGAATGTAAATTACTGACAAGTAAATTCTTCCTAAATCTCTCCTTAATAAAGGAAATGTGATAATAGTATGCCAAACAGAACTTATTTAAATTGAGTCAAAAAAGAATTGTTAATACTTTAAAAAGTCTGGAATCCTATCAACTGATTAAGTGGAGATGGTAAGCCTTAATTACAAAGTGCATATGTAGCAAAAAAAGACAAACTGCAATGCTGGAGTAAAGCAAAGTTTAGTTTTCTGGTTGCTGCAAGGCATTCTCCATTTTGCAGGTACTAAGCATATTCTAGAAGTTTTTAAGCTCTAAACTAGTACAAGTTAGATGTCAGCAGATGACATAAAATTATTTTTCAAGCATCAAGCAATGTTATTCTGGTTTTTTTTGAAGATAAAAGTTTTTCAGCATTCTTCTAAATACTATCAATTCTGTTGTCTCACTTCACCCACTGCAATGAGCAGTGACCTTACAGTAATCCTACATGTCCTAGATATTTTCATCTGCATAATAAAACCTTCTAAAGAAATACTCTTCCATTATAGTTGAATGATCTTTAGTCATGAAATCAAAATAATCCAAGTTTAATTTTTTTAAATTAGAGATTATTCAATCTTGAATTTCTGTAAACTATTCCAAAAAGTTGAAGATGATACATGTAACTGACCGCTGCTATCAAGTCAGAATTAGCTCTTATTTGAAATTACAACTTCATAAAAATAATGTGCTGGGCTGCCAGTATAATAAAATAAGTACTTCTGTGGAAAGGATAAGAATACATACACAATAGAAGAGAAAGAAAAAGAGAAGAGTGAGAGTGGGTGAGTCACTGGGAAAGCATTAGAGAACAGTTGCCGATACTGATAAAATATAAGCTAGATTTTTGCCTTGTAGAAAAAAACAGCAATATGACATTTAAGTTGCAGAGCACACATCAGTAAGAGCACACCATGGCCCTTACTCAGAGGCCTCCACTCAGTTGGGTCTCTCCTAAGCATATGCTTGATGACATAATATCTCTCACATGTAATCTGAAACCTAAACATGACAAGAACATAGAAAGGTGGGTAAGAGGGGAGGAAGTGATTGTTGATAAGTGGGAATGAATTTTCTTCTTAAATATCTATATGACAATTGTAAGTGGTTATATACAAGTGTGAAACAATATTCCATAACATGAGTAAATCTTCCAAAACTACATGATGTTGAGTTAGGTCTTTTTTTCTGTTTCTGCTAAGCTTCTTACTACTCTTGCTTCTGTCTTCCAGCTACTCCTGCATTCCTTATTAGAATCAATCTGAATGATGTATGCTCAACAGCTGAGGCATAAGCAGTATACACAAATATTGTTTGTATGACCTAAGAATAAAATGATAGAGATTCAGTAGGTATCTAATCTGAACTGACACCCTGCCAAGATGACAGAATTTGTATTTAACTGAAAATTTTTCATACCATCCATCTCCATTCCTATAGGAATCAGGTCTGTTGAAGTTTTATTACTTCCCTGGAACATGGGACAACTCATCAGTCAGACATGACTGGAAGATGAGCAACAGCAGAAAAAATGTTTTTTTTAAAGATGTACTGTTACATCTCATTCATCACAGTGATAATTCATGTAGGTATATGCTGTCTCACCAGACAAGTATTAACTTATTTATAACTTATAAATTCTAAATTTATCAACAGTTGTCTTGGCCTCCCAGAGTCTAGGCTATTTGCAGTTGAAGGCCACACCATATCCTGTTATTTGAAAACTTACTAGATCTGGATTTGCTTAAGTCTCTTTTCTGCTACATGACTTCCTAGTCATTAAACACTGACTGTCCTCACAATTTATGTAAGACACCTAATAAGAATCACAAAGGTAGAATAAATATTTATTTTAGCCTTAAGTCACTTTTCTAGAAAGTACAGGGATCAAGAACACCCCTGTGCATATTTATACTTGAAAGCATAAGTTAAGGAGAGAGGTTTAAGAAAGAGAATGAGTAGGGGACAGTTTCAATGCTCTTAAATTATATTTCCAGATAATTCAGACTTTTAAAGAAAAATTTATGGCTATAATTATTGATTATATGGAAACATATGAGAACAAGAAGTGAAAGTAACATACCCATTCCTTTCTTCTGAATAACAACCTTTAAAGGAGAAATATTCTCATAAAGATAGAAAGGAAGAAGGCACTGTATCTGCCATCTTTAGAATTTTTTTTTTCATTTACATAGATAATGAAGAACTGGTATTGAATTCTGACATACTCCCTGAGATACACCAGGGCATCATATCTCCTCCCCTGGCCTGCTGCATGCCAGAGGACCAGCATGAAAAATACAAATAGCTCTTCTTCCACCATAGTGAGATAAATTC